TACAGGCATATGAGTTTCATACACCATTTTCTCACACTCCTTGACAATCTGGAGCATTTCGGTGTTAACAAGCCCTGAGTCATCGCTCCAGRACCTTCTGTATTCCTGTTTTCTCCCTCCATGATCCCTGAAGTCAGGCAGAGCCAGCATCTGCCCAGTGACTGCAGCCCTCCTGCAGCACAGTGGGAAGCAGCTGCACCTGATAGAACTGAATACAGAATGCCTGTAGCTTGGTTTAAGGGATTTAAGCTGCTTCCCAAATGTCAGTATTGACAGAGCAACCTTTTTCTAGGTCACTCTATGGGGCATTCAGAAGGGAAATCCTGCCAAGTTACACAAGAGGTTTGACAGCTTATAGGTGGTAAATGTTCACTTTTAACAGTGCTCATTCATGTGCTTTGTGCACTTGAATAGTCCTGCTTTTTCAATGGAGCCATTTGAATAACTAAGTACTCTGCAAAATAAGGAGGGGTTGTATGCCCTGTTTTTTTACTTCCATTTGGGCCATTTGTTTAATTAAAATAAAACTTACAGTAAAAATGGTATTTTAATGACACATGGTGCATCAGAAAGGAACTTGTAGGRCTCTTTTTGCCTCAGAGGGCAAACACAAGGAAAGATTATTAATAATTTCATGTATGACTCACTTCAATGTCTAAGAGAAAAGTGCTCTCTGAAATGAAGGAGGGCTGTTAAATATAAAAACAAAGGGAGGGTGTGTTTTTTACATAATAATAATTTATGAAAACTAGTTCACCGCCAAGTCTTAGAAGTTCAGAAAGACTACATACAAAAGTCTGTTCATAGGCATCATGATCACAGCTTTTAAAAACACTGGAATKGGTAAGTTAAATTCAAAGATTATTTAATTTCAGATAGTTTCTGAAAGATGGGACAGACCAGAAATATTTGCACATAAATATCTGCAGATTGTGCTCTGGCTTCAGACTGGGTCTCAAGAACTTTTAAAATTCCATAAGGAATCTTTTTATTGGTAGCTTTGAATCAGGCAGTGTGTTTCCTAAAATTAATATCTCTTCTTGCAAAGCATCCAGTTGTATTACATGCTTGTAAAAATAAGGCTAAATTAAACTGCTCCATCAGAGACCCAAGAAATTCTTAGCTGTTCAATATTCTTCCTTCTTACCTCTTCAACATTATTTGAGTCACAGAATGAAGTAAGAAGTTGTGTGTTAATATAGCAAGTCAGCCATATCCTTACCCATCCATGTGTTGAAACAGCTTCATAAATATCTAATGGATGGGAAATGTCCATTCCAAAAGAGAGAAACAACAAAATGTGCTGAGGTCTCCACAGGGCATATATTTTTACTGAAACGCAATTTTAAATTTTCTTAATTGAATTGTGGCTCCATGGAGAGATTGAGGCTCCGTGGAGAGATTGAGGCAGGACTAATGGGTTTTTACAGTAGTCATTGTACCTACATATGTGATSTGTAAATTCCTCAGCCCTGTAGCTTAAGAAAACAAGGAAATATGAATCTTACATTTCTGAACCAAATCTCAGAAAAAAACATTTCTCCTTCATGCTGCAAACCATATTTCTGAGCACTACAGAAGAGCTGGTCTGTTCGGTAGCCTTTCCGTGTAACCTGACAACAGGTTTTGACATCTTTCATGGTGTCCTTGGCTGAGACTACCCCAGTAAAATAACGCTTGTACTGTGTTGAAACAAGTCCTGGACCATATACAGACTTATTTTCTTCTGATAAGCCACACATATTATATTAGTTGTAATTATTTTACTTTCCTTATGGTTGAATTTATTGTCCTCACTGGGTTAAAGCTATATTGTTTATGTATTTGCATATTTTGTTTTGCATATTTCGTTTGCATTTGCATTGTTTGTCTCCATTTAAAACACATGCCTTCATTTCTTACTGCCCAGCAATTCTGTTAAAAAAAAACTTTACAAGGTAGCAGATGTACTACAGATCTGGGAAGAGCTGATCACATGACACATTCCCCTCCAAAGGCACAGTCAGTTGCCAGCAGTCATTCAACAGCTATATGGTAGTTGGTGAAATATTCCCCAACTAACTGAAAAACCAGGGCTGTTGCCATGGTTATTTGAAATATGCCAGAACTTTTTCCCAGTCCATTATTCACTTCTCCACTGTAATATATCTACCTGTGTTTTTCTGGGAGGAGGTAAAGAAGGTAGCTGTATGAATATCTTATTTTTACATGTAAGATCAAATATGCTTTGGAAAGATTAAATATTCTTTGGCTTTTTTTTTCAGGCAGCTATTTAGAAGACTGAAACAGATGCTTTATTCTACCTATGAGGCTGKTTTTTTTTGCTGTTGGGGAGTTTTGTTGTTTTGCTTTTTTCAACAGATAARGAATGGAAAAATCATGTCATTTACTAATTGCATGCCTGCCTTCTTCAGACTATCTTTTTTGAAGGATAATGCTCTGACACTTCCAGGTATTCATCAGAGGAGAAAAAGAAAGCATTACGAGAGGAAAAGTAAAAGAGCAGCTAATTTTCTATTTTCCACTGTGTAGCTTTGGCATTAAAAACCCCTGGAGGATAGAATTATAGAGGGGTTTTTCGTTGGTTTAATAGTAGCACTTAACAGAACACTTGATGTGAAGAGGACAAGTCATGAGAATATAGGAATAATCTCTCAGGTTTACCTGTTCAAGCCCTGAACTGCCACTACCCAGAAGAAAAAAGAAGTTGTTTTCATCTCCTTAAGAAAGTAACACAAACACTTATTGGCACTGGCCACCAGCAGCCCTCCCAAAGGGATGCCATAGTGCTGTTCTTCACACTGGTGTCAGGCTGGCACCTGCTGGGAGTTCCCCTTTATCCTTCAGATTGACACAGTCATGAAACATCCAGGGGGAAACTCTGGCCTGCTGGGATCTGCTGGCCACAGATTGCTGGGTATTTGCGGGACGCTCTTTCACCCCATATATATWTTTTTAAATTGTAATTATAGAGTATTTGCATTACTGAAATAAAAGGTAATACAGTTTCTTATAAGTACAGATAATGAAGGGAGATCTATTTTCAGTTCTCTTCCCTGAGGACCTTACCTTTGACATTAAGATGACCCCATCTTACCTAGGCTTCATTTGACCCAAAAGTACCTTCTTAATGTCAGAGAATGAATTCACCTGCTCRGACAGGGTGTCAAAGACATTTATGAACTCCACATCAAAGCAGTGAATACGCCACAGAAGTTTTGGTAGTTATGTGAAAAAACATGTCATGTAGGAAAAAAAGACTGCTCCAGAGGTTATATTTCAAAAAGATCTCAGCAAAAAAAAAAAACACTCAGAAGCATTATAATCAACTGCAAAACAATGCTGTTTAAGATGACTACACAAACTGTAATGAATGCAGAGACTTGTGACACATACAAGGTATAAATATASTTACTAATAATGATATAATTATCATTGGCTTGCCTTGACCCTGAATATAAGGGTAACCAGCAGCATTATACAAGTACCTCATAGCACTGTGAGGGCATAATTTTTAGACACAATTTTTTAAAGTACATTAAGGATTGTGATCAACAAAGGGCCAAAGTAAAATATACCCAAGCACCAAAACCTGGCATACATGAGACCTGATTAGCACAACTGACTGTAAATAGAGAGGATATCATTCAAAGATGGAACACAGGCAAGAACAGGAAAAAAATACAAATAGTGTTTGTGGGGTGTGCAACAAGATAAAACCATGTGACATAAACAAGGAAAAGTGAGGGAGTAAGGCAGCTCACTTGGACTTTGAGTGTGTCCTTCAGGAGCTCTCAAGTCAAACTTCAACAGCTGAGGACCATCAGAGACTGTAAACAGCACTGTCAGCTTTGCAGCATCAGCTCTGGGGTACTGTGCACTTAGAACCAATTTTAAACTGATTTTTAAAGACCAACAGTTTTGTATGCAGAGTGATCAGATTAACATTATGTAAGATTTAACCATTAGCATGAAGTGAGCTACTAATTTTTAATTCACTAATGTTAAATTTGACAACGTAAAGCTGACCTAATTTCGCAGTCTTCTGAACACTCCCATAACAGCCATCTCTGATTCCCTCTGTGACAGAAATGCTTTTAGTTGCAACAACTTAGTCACTAGGAAGGGGTCCTTGCAAATCTGAAAACCAGCTCAACGGGAGGTTGATTAARCCTTGAGAGAAGAAACTTATCAGTGGATGAAGAAGAGAAGGTGCTGATGGCATTTACTCCTTTGGTACATGAGGATCCCATGCAAATCAAGGCAGGTCTGTGGCATAACTTACTAAGACTGCACCTTGCTTAGTGCAAGGGTGACACCAACTGAACTTCTTTGATGCTGTTTTTGATGTGGAAGCAAGGTACTTGGCAGTAGTGTGATAAAGCACAATTTTTTTTCTGGAGGCAAAGAAGAATAACAAATGAGAATGTGTGTTAAGAACAAGCAATATAAATGACAGCACTTGCATTCAGTCAACTACTGTACAAGAGGAAGAAGGAGAACTGAGCCTCAGTCAATAAGCTCTGAGGGGGAATACTCATGTGGTGTGGACAAATACACATTTCTTTAAGTTTATATCATGCTTTCTTTTTGTGTTCCCATGCTATTATCCAGAAAAACCTATTACATTAGAAATAATTCATCTTACTATTAGAAAATATAAATATGTAAAAACTACCATTCAGAATAAATATTTCTATTTACCCAAAACATAAAACAGTAYAAAACCAATGACTAGTCATTTGGAAGAAGTTGTCAGTCTCCCAGCACTACTATTCTAAGGCATTTATTGATTCATGATTATCTCCTCAGAAGACTATTAAATCCTCCTGGTGCACCCATTCTCCCATGCTGCATAACTCTTCAGTATACTGCTTTTTTTTTTTTTTTTTTTTTTTTTTCTCTGAAACCTGACTACAATTATTCATCACTGTCCTTGCACTAAATATACTCTATAGTTTAGAGTATATAGTTTATTTCATGGGCTACATCAATCCTACCTAACATTATCATGCCTTTGTATGTAAATCTTGTGGAAAATCCTTTCAGGAGGCTTCAGGAAGTCTTCCTTCATTTCCATTGCAACATTCCTGGGCAAAAGGCTCATCAAGAGACGTTCCTAAAAGAAAACATAAACAACATCAGTTTTGTGGTATAGTGTGTGGCCATTTTTTAAACTAGTAAACTAGACAAGCTTCTCTTAATCTGCTTCCTTAAAATGTCTGCTGCTGCATAAACAATATGAACCATGAATCTCAAAATCCTGCAAACTGTGTGGGTGACTTTTTTTAATCTTCTGCACTAAAAAAAAAAAAAAAAAAAAAAAAAAAAAAAAAAAAAAAAAAAAAAAAAAAAAAAAAAAAAAAAAAAAAAAAAAAAAAAAAACCACCAAAAACAAAAACAACCACACACACAAAAAAACCCTACACAAAAAAAAGCCAGCTACAAGGGCATATAATTGCCCATGTTTTTCATTAACATCACAGTTCTAGTAACAACTTACTTCCTTCGTAGTAGCATTTATCTGTCTGGGAAAGACTTCCCAGGATCATTTACTATCCTTTTGTGGTCCTATTTCTTCTTGGATGCAATGAAAGTGTTACATTAGGAGGACTATGACAGCTGGTTATTAAGCAGTGAGAGTGGATGAAGGATTTATCCACTGTYAAATTCAGTGGAACAGTAACAGAAGCACAGTTTTAATGTCATCTTATTCAGTGTGGCAATGTCTGTAATGARCTGCATCAGTACAAAATGCTGGCTAAACACATTTTCTTGCTGTATTCACAGAGAAATTTTTAGCATGGATCACTGATCTTTATAAAAAGGGTCTCTAATGTTATGGATCTTGCCAGTATTGACTGTAAGCCCCTTGATGTTTTTCCATGTATTCTGGCACACTTGCAGGTGCCATCTGGAAAATCTAAAGCTGCTGCTCTTAGATGTTGTAAGATGTCCTTAGATGCCTACCCAAGTTGTGTTTTCACCCAGAAAATGCTTGCCATTTAAAATGCAGTTCCAAGCTTATGCATCAGACTTGCTAGTTTCTGCCATGGCAACAGTCTGAATGAATTCACCTAAACACGTCTGATGTGATTCAGGCATCTCAGGTTCCAGACAACGAGGGATGAGGCTAGAGCAAGGAAGATGCACCCTTGGTGGAAAGGATTAGGTCAGGGAATACTTAGGCAAACWGGATAGATGGAAGTCCATGGTCGCTTACAGGACACATCCACAAACCCTGAGTGAGTTGGCAGATGTCACTGTAAAGCTACTCCTGGTAGTCAAATGTGGTGACTGGGAAAAGTGAGGGAAGACTGGAAAAAGAAAATGTCACTTCTATATCCAAGAAGGGCAAGCAGGAGGATATAGGGAACTACAGKCCTGTCAGATTCACCTTGGCTCCTGGAAAGTGATGAAGATTCTCATCCTGGAAACCAAGGTGGTTAGACCAGATGACTTCCAGAGTTCCCTTCCTACCTAAACTATTCTGTGATTCTGTTATCTGACTATCAAGACCCACTGTAGTGGCAGCTGTGAGATGTCACAGAAGTGCATATTTYGGCCCACCCATATCGTCCTTTTACTTAATTGATATTAAAGAAATAAGGAGTAAAAATTAACACTTAGAAGAGGGTGTCTGCAAGTGCTTTGTGTTGCTCACATGCACAGATTCRCATTTGATAAAGCCATCAAATAATACTCAGTTTATTCAAAGTTTTTTTTTACAGTTTCTTCCAGAAGATACATCAAAAGATGGAATGTTTAACTTTGCAAAACTGTGCTTGAGAACTTTAAAGTTCTGTCATATATTTGTGGYAATCATGTTGTCTTGAGGCTAAGGATCATTAACTAAGTCTATTTCCTACTGTTCTTATACCAAGAGTATTGCAAAGAACATGATGGAATTAAATATTTGTTGGCACTTTATAACATACAGCAATTTCCAATTTTTAATTATCCAAAGAATATCACATCACTAGAAAATGGTTATTCACTATAATTTTCATGTTGATTTCATTAAGTATGCTTGTACTTCTACAGCAGAATTATTTTTGGGTAACCCGAATTTTGGGTTACAATCCAAGTATTTTGTCAACAGTGGATCTCATGAAGCTCTGTTGACTGCTTTTTGTGTCCTAAAGTTGATTTACTGTGTTAAGAGAAATATACTGGAGTTATAAAATGAGCTGACCACCTGTCAGACAATAAAGAACCGATACAGAGGTATACACCTGTCAGACAATAAAGAACCATGAGAGGAATTTGGACTGATGGTTAAATTCTCTGGTGCTCAAGATAGAATAGGTGGTGCTGAAATTTCATAAGTACTGCTCTGGATACAAAATTTACAATGTCTAAAGACTAAATGTTCTCTGTAGCTTCTCTTCAGCGAACATATTAAAAAAGGTCTTTGCCTTTTTGCTGAAATGGGTTAGTAAATTCCAAGACTGTTATGGAAAAAGTGGGTTTTAAACTTCTGTTCCATAGAAGACTTAACCAGACAAACGAGCAAACAAAAATTACACTGACAGGCTCTTCCAGGGACAAGTGCTGACTGAATAGTTCTTCTGTGGCCTACAAACAATTGCAATGCAAGATATGAATAAAAAGCTCACAGATAACATCTGCAGTACATGGCAAATAACATGGAATCCAGGGCAGTAATAARAATCATTACCTTGAAGGCAGCATTGGAGACCTGTAGGATGCAGCATTTGACAGCACTGAGACATGCATGTCAGATGTATTAAGGGAGGCTACAGAAATAATGATTCCTTTATGTGTTACATTGACTATAACAAGACCTGAAGGGAGCATATGAAAATCCTCTGTTAAATTGTGATTGCTTGCTTTTTTCATTAGAGCTGAGAAAAACAACAACAAAAAAAAGGTGGATGACTGCTGAAGAATTGTAGAGTCTATACAAGGAGGGTTGGCAGCCTCAGGCTCGCCAAGTGAGGAAAGACTCAATTATGGCTTTCTCAAAGGGCAGCCACTGCTGACCTTTCAGACCAAGAAGGGAAGCAGCATCATGACTGTAAGGATTTGTCACTGAATGGGAGATTGGAAAATGTAAGAAAGAACACTGCAGTGTAAAGTATCAAAACACTGAAAATAAATGAATGACAGCATCCAGCTCTCTAGAAAGATTATAAGAAAAGTCTCTTCTATTTTTATCAAAAGCTCATCTGTCAAGCAAAGTGGTGTTGCCCTTCAGGTCAGCCTAAGGAATACCCAAGGTCAGCCCAAGGAACTCAGAGTTTTGGAGCAGCAAGAGTGAATCCATGTACACAAAATATAGCTGTTGAAATGTTTTGGAAAGTGCTCTGCCTTGTCCAGTTTTTTCTTTTGCTCCTGTATGGCTGATCTGATTATAAAAATCATCTGAAAACCAGACTAAAAGGAAAACTACATGTGTATGACTGTGCAATGCATTGAATGGAACAAGTGACAGAACTAAAGGATGACCATTCACATTTATGCTGATGTTCATACTCGAGTGGTTGTTGCCTCTAACAGGGGTGGGTAATGAGAGGAATAAATGGAAAGTTAACACAAGGAACACTAATCGATTAGCAATAACTTTTAACAAAATAAAACAGCACTCATATTGTAAACCTTCTAACTGGTAACAAATGATTTTGTATTGAGGTAGCCTCAACACGTGACATATTCCTAAACACAAGGTCTAGTAGAAATAAAGTATTTCCATATTTTAATCCTTCTCACTGATTCACAATGCTGTTTAGGGTTATAACAGCTGTTTTCTACACAAAACAATAAATTTTGGTCCTATGACCAACTTACACTATTTTAGGAATTTGTACACTTTTCTGCTGTAAATTTCACTCAAGCACTAAMACAGTCTAAAGTGAAATCACATGCTGAAAAAGCAGATTATTTTCAGAGACCGCAATTGTCAGTCAATGATTTTGCATTCCCTGCAGAAATCTCACTAAGAGAAGAAAATTACAAATGAGGACCTCCTTCATTCACAGCAATTTACACTCCCAGTCCTGTTCTGGGATTTTGAATGCCAAACTAGACTGCCTCTAGACTAGACAATTTTATTATTCTCATTAATAAGGATTTCTTTTTTAAAAGGACACTCAATTTATAAAAAAGATTTCTACCACAGCAATGCAGCATCACTAGAAATTAGAGGATGAACAAACATTCTTTTTGACCCCAAGGAAATTAAAATGTGCATACCAAACCAATTAGGAATCGATCAGTGTTACCTTGGCCCTATTCGACATCTAGTACCATTATGCACATGACAAAGAAAATATGCAAAGGTGGGAAACGGATAAGGAAAAAGTTTTTCCCATTGTTAATGAACAAAAAGACCCTATATTACTACTTGTAACATTCTCAACCCTACTTGCAAGTACAAGATCCTGGACTGCAACTTTCACTCCCAGTTGGACCCAAGTTAAAACTTTTAAAAGTTATTCAACAGAGCCACAGTTGACCAGACCTGGTCTTGCTGGCAGTCCTGCTTTGAGGGAGCATTCGGCCTGGATGATCTCCAGAGGTTCCCTTTGACTGTTGTATACCAAAGGGGGCAGCAGCACAAGGACAAGGAGCAGAGGCCTGAAGCCATCTTGCTATCTTGCCACCCATGAAAATAGCAGAGGAGGTCAAGGCTCAGCATTCTCTAGCAGTTGTGTGATTTCTCATTTCTGAGAAGGGAGAGAATCAGCAAGCAGTGATTACTGAGGGAACAAAATCCCTCATTTGCATGCTCTATTCTGCCCTAACACTCTATTCAACTTTCTACAATTTGGAGGTTTCTCACTATCCCCATCTGCTCTGGACAGCCTCTCCCACCAGCAACCCAGTTCTGCTTTTATGGGAGTCCCCAGTGCATGTTGTTAATATATTTCTTGTGTCTGCCTCCAAATGAAGATGCCCATCTCCCTCTCATTTTGAAAACCATCTTTTTTTTCTCATTTTACTGCTGTTTCCAAATACTTATAACTTATTCAAAATCCTTTAAAAATTTCACCTTGATTTAGAATCATTTCATGCAGCTCTCCAAACAACATTATGCAGCTATTCCTAATACACAAAATTATTCATTTTGAYATCTGTATGGCAAATGATTGTGAT